CTAGGTTTTTTGACTTGGTACACTGATTAGTTTTAAGGTGAACTAAAAACAAATTTTGATTCAGGTTTTGTGATAGTGTAATTTAGATTTTACTGAATAGTTGCGCTAATTTTTGACCACAGTGCGAGCCGTGGCCTAGAGAATTGGTTCTAGTACCGAGCCATTAGGAGCACCAGTCCGTACTAACTGTACTGACTAAACGTAAATTTTGATCCAAAAATTCATTGCTTCAAGAAAAGATTCTAGTAGCTCTAGAAGCCAAACAATAGTAGTTCAAAGGGGAGGCCCGCTTGCCACACCTTGCTGAAGGCTTTTGAGACATCTAAGAGCAAGATGTCAGGACTCATGCTGAGGGTGAATTGTCTGGTTACATGTTCCATCAGCCTGACTGGCTGTAGCTCGGTACTATGCTCGGGCCGAAAGCCGAATTTGACGTCAGGAATCTAATCATGATTTGACGACAAATTCTCAAGATGACCATAAATCGTCTAGCTTAGAAGTAGCTGATAGCAGACTATGGGATGGTAGTCCCGAGGAAATATCGAACCCACCTTCTTTGGAATCATGATGACCTCAGAAGTCGTCCACCCCACAGGGAAGTACTGTATTCTGAGCATTGCGTTGATTATTTTCATCAAATATTTTAGAGCTTTCGACGAGAGCAGCCTGAACGCCCTGTTGGTGATTTGATCCTCCCCAGGTGCTTTACGCACCTGGAGGGCTCTAAAATTACCTGAGAGCTCCGCTCATGTGCAATGTGGAGCCTCAGATTAATCTTCTGAAGAATAGTCATCTGAAGAGGATTCAGTGCCTCCGCTAACGCCCTAAAATATGCCCCGACCGATCTAACCATGTGTTCCTAGAGGTCATTATCAAGGTCATAGTTGGGAGAGAACTGTTTCTCGTGACTTCAGCGAATCTTCGCACTTATCTTCCGTTCTGAAGACTAGCGATGATTTGTCAAGGCGGAATACGACGTACACTCAAGGCTACCAACAATATCGTGTATGCAAAATAGACTATCCTTATGTACGTTTGCCTAGCGCGTATGATACTGTCAATCAAAAGTGACAACTGGATCTTTAAATTATCCGCCTGTCCGAGTTCGAATCTCACCACATTGGCGAGCATTCTCTCGCCACGCTACTGACGAGCATGTATTGGAACAAGGGAAAAATAAAAAAATGAGACATTATATTTTTTAGATCTGACGTGTACATCTTGAAAAACCATGTCACGCAATTCCGTCGGTATTCGATCTGTCAGTCTATCCGCTAATCCCTGGTCCGTTTATAGCTTGGAAAGTGTCACTCAGATTATGGAGGCGGAGCAAGAGAACACATTAACATAAATCGCTCAAACATCGATTTTTGACGTTTCGGAGGCTTCTGCTTATTTTGGAAAAATAACTGTAGGTTATAGGAGTCCATTGTCGGGTCTTATCAAACGACACATCCTTCAATTTTAGATTATTGTACGATGTTTCGGCCACCACGGTGGCATTTTTTAAGTACAATGATACTTAATGACAGTTTATTTTTGCTTATCTGTCTTCCAGGTGACAGTTCATCGATTTTCACTTTTCTTCATTCATATGCGTTGCGACAATATATTAAACGTCCTATATCACAGCATAAAACCAGAAAAGTCCAGGAGTTACTTTGACCTTTGTAGGCGTCAAACATTGGGGTAGTAGGGGGTGGGGGTGTCTCAATTTTTTTATGCTAGCATATTTGTACACTTCCAGCACTGGTAATTAGTCATATTTCTTTCACACGTCATAACATACATTTTTCCTTGAAGCTTGAAAAATATTTTCAACAGACGCGTCTCTGGTTATAATACGTGCGTCGAGGTCCTGCGTTACCATATTTCTAAATTTTCAACCCAGCGCAACTATTAGCACAGATTTCTCACATTATAGATTTTCCTGTCCATTAGCTCTTAAAATAGGGAAGATAACCCTCGCCTGGTAAGGGTCGCGGTCACATGGAACCGTTACGAACACATACGTACACAGAATCCATTCTGTGCCTGCCTACTCAGAGCACCGCTGGCATGACGAAGTGGTGCGGTTCAGCAATGTTGCGATACTTTTACTAGGGCAGCGACAAAATTTCTAGCATTATCAAATGGGTGGTTACTATGGACTAATTTCATATACCTGTTTGGCTGACTGGATCCATATAATTCAATTCAATTCAATAGGCTTTATTCAGAAAAAAAAGGCTGATATAAGAACAATAATAGTTTTTTTTAAATATTTCGAACAATATTTGATGAACAGTGAATATTTGGTATACAAGGGTTGTTTGGTGCGACAAAACGAACCATGTGCATAGTTTTACTGTAGCCGCTAGAGGGCGCTGTCTACTGTACCTGTAGTGTACTAAAATGACCGAAAAATTTTTCTTAGTGCAATTTTTTGCTTTTTGAATAAAAAAACTGATTCTTCGCACTTTTCAACATAAAAAAGCTCTCTTGTGAATTTTCGTTATAGTTAGCCGTTTTTGAGATATTTCGATTTTTAGGGTTCGATGCATTTTTAATTATTTATGATAAAATAACGTTAAAATGTCAGTATCTCGATAATTTTTAGAAGTAGGCTGTGCCTGCAAATATTTTTGAAATTGAAAGCAGAATAAGGCTAAACGTCAATTAGTTAATAATAATAATAATAATAAATGGCCTTTATTCGTCACACGATTACAAAATAATTGGTTTAAAAGGAACAGTGACGAAAAGTTGGAGTGTCAGCTTATGCTGTTTTTCAACCCGACCTGGAAAACATTGACACAAACTATAGAGAGAGAGAGAAAAAAAAACTTAGAATATAACACTTATCAGAGAAAGGAAACAATCAATTACCTGTGGATATGCATAAAGTAAAATTTTAGCCGTCCGACTGCTTTAAACTCATCTTTAACCTTTTTTTAAAATTGCTTAGGCTATATTCTTTATACTCACTTGATAAGCAGTTATATAGTTTGGGTGCCCAGTACGAGAAACTGCGTGTGAACAATGCTGTCGAATGCCGCGGGATAAGTAAGATGAGTTTATTCCTAGAGGATCTTTGATCGTACTGGCAGAGGAGGCTTAGTTTTGTATAAAGATAATATGGCGCTTTAAGGATAAGGGTCTTATGTACCAGAGATAGGCAATGCAGTTTCCTCAACTTGTTCATCTTAAACCATCCCGATTGGTCAAAAGCGCTACTAATATGATCAAATTTACGGATTCCATAAGAAAATCTGATGCATGAGTTTTGTATCATCTGAATCCGCTCGCCATCACGTTGTAAAAGAGCAGGTCCATAAACAGAGTCACCGTAAGATAATTTTGACAGGATAAGGGACTCGCAGAGTTTAAGCTTGAGCTGTGTCGACAGGACACTTCGACTCGGATATAACTTACGAAGCACATTATAGGACGCATTGCATAGTTGGTTAACATGTTTAGTGAAGCGTAGCTTGCAGTCAAACCAGATACCAAGGTTTTTGCATTCGTTTACGAAGGATATGCCTTCATTATTCACCATAATATTAATGCGATATTGATTTATTTCACGATTCTTTTTGGGCCCAAATAAAATGCAGCATGATTTGCCAGGATTTAGTTTTAGATTGTGAGCACTAGATATGTCAAAAATAGACTGCAGGTCTTGATTTATTTGATGTTGGCCAAGCATATATTCATCAGGATCGAAGCAGTTATAAAGTTGGGTATCATCGGCGTAATGATGAACGATTGAGTTGCTGGCGGTTTCATGAAAATCACATATATAAAGAGCAAATAAAAGGGGACTCAAAATAGATCCTTGAGGGACACCAAAATTTCTGAATAAAGAAGTTGATATATTGTTTTCATATATGACAGACTGTGCGATCAGTTAAAAAGCTCTTAATCAGCGTGCAAGCCGATGATGACAGGCCAAAGTATCTAAGCTTTTTACAGAGAATATTTGGGTCAACCGTATCGAAGGCCTTGCTAAAATCAAGAAGAACTAAGCAGGACAGCTTTCCTTGATCAACCGCGCTATAAATATTATCCGATATAGACAGGAGCGCAGTGGTGGTGCTATGTAATGGTCTGAAGCCAGATTGGGAGGTGGTCAGTAAATTATTTTACAAACAAATGTGTGCAGCTGCTCATGTAGAGCCATTTCCAAAAGCTTAGATAAACTTGGTAAAATGCTTATAGGACGAAGATCAGAAAAACTTGAAGGATAATTAGATTTAGGCAGAGGGAGAACAAGAGCATTCTTCCAGGAAGAGGGATAAAGATTATTTGTTATACAAAAGTTAATAATGAAGGTAATATACTTGAGCAAATGCTTATGTATTATACGGATCATATCAATTGTGATGCCATCTGAGCCTTTAGCATGACTTTTGATGCGATTAATAAATTTCTCTACAGTGGCAGGGGAAACTGTCGTGAACAGAAAAGTACCACTATTCTTGACGTTTTCATATTTGTCTAAAAGGTTCAATTGAGTTAATGATTTAATTGTTTGAGGTACGTTTAAAAAAGCACTATTTAATGAATCGAGATCCTGAAGATGTGGAGGTAGACTTATGGAGTTATGTTTAACGATATTCAAAGATCTAAGTATATTCCATGTAGTCTTCGATTTTTTATGTCTCATAACATAATCGAGGTAGGCTTTTTTCTCTCGCCTAATAGCACTAGAAACATAATTTCTGATTTTCTTATAGAATTCCCAGGCAGCAATCGTTCCTGTACGTTTAAATTTTTTATATGCGTCACGTTTTGTTCGCATCATGAGTTTTATGTTGAATGTTCGCCAAGGAGCTGGTGGCTTGGTAACTCGAATGTTTCTGACAGGAGCATGCAAGTTGAAGGTGCACAAGATATTAGAGCTCAGGAAGTCAATCATTTGATCCACATCTCTCAACGTATATATAAAATCCCAGTTTATTAAAAGTAAATCATGGTAGAAATTGTCTAGGCTAAAGGTAGAGTAATCACGATATGACCTCAGTTTACATAGGTTGCTTATCTCCGATGCATCTACATAAAATATTAGGGCTAGATGGTCAGATATTCCATCTACGTCAACAACTTCATAACCACTTATTATATCAGCAGAGCTAACCATGAGCAAGTCTATAGCTGTCTGGCTATTGAAAGTTATACGTGTGGGCTCTTTCACTAACTGAGACAGATCAAAAGACTCAAGAAAACAGTTCAGCATCTCGGATCGGCCGTCGTTCACTAAAACATTAATATTAAAATCGCCCATGACAATTGCGTAATCATTATCGAGTGAAAGGTTGGTTAAAGACTCAGTTAATTGATGAAAACAGTCAAGCACGTTTGCCGATGGTGGACGGTAGACTATAGCTAGACAATATTTGCGTTGATTAACCTTTACAGAGATCCAAAGTTCTTCCAATACTGCGGTGATATTAGAGTGCAATATTTTGAAGGCAATACCATTTCTCACATAAAACGCGACGCCCCCGCCTCTGCTATTTCGATCTGCTCTAACGACATTGAAGTCGTTGATAAATACTGAGGAGGAATCAATATCTGGGGTTAGCCAAGTCTCACTGAGACCCAGGACATCGACAGCACAGTCAACAACATACTCCTTCAAAGTTAGAAAACTAGACTGAATTGACCTTACGTTGAAGCTCATGAATTTTAGACGTCTAGACATATTGACAGTTAGTTTTCTTGTCTGTTGAAACCTGAAACGTTTTTTTGCAATTGTGAATGCACGAAATTTAGTTTCTTTTACCTGTTTTTTTTTTGTAAGTTTTATAAAAATGCCATTTTTATTCTCCAATCAAGAGTCAGTGGATATTCATTTTGTGTATGGCTTTGTAAATGGAAACGCAGCAGAAGCAGCCAGAGAATATGCACGAAGATTTCCAAACAGACGACATCCACCTCGCTCAGTATTTGTAAGAGTGCATCGCCAAATAATTCAAAATGGTTTTGGAAATCTCCATAGGGATCAAATCATAAATGTTCGTCAGCGAAGATTTACCCGTATGATTCTGCGTGAGTTTGATAGAGATCCGACCACAAGTGTTAGGAGAGTTTCTGGTGCCTTGGGAATTTCAGCAAGCGATGTTCACCGTGGCCTTAGAAATGACCATGTGCAAGGACTACAGCCAGGGGACGGAGAACGAAGAATCACATTTTGTCAGTGGATTCTTGATAGAACTGATAATAATAGGGAGTTTTTAAGTAACGTTTTATGGACCGATGAGTCATGCTTCACTACACGTGGAGTGGTAAATTTTCATAATCAACATATTTGGTCGCATGAAAATCCTCATGCAGTTCGGGAAAGAAATTTTCAGCATGAGTTTAGTGTGAACGTGTGGATTGGTATCTACCGTAATCGACTATTTGGACCCTACCTTTTGCCTGCAAGGTTAAATGCTGCGACCTTCTTGGAATTTTTAAAGGCTGAACATGCAAATATGTGGGATGATGTTATGTTAGATTTAAGAAGATTGTCCTGGTTCCAGCTTGATGGTTGTCCAGCTCATTATTCGAGAATAGTTAGAAACTGGCTGGACGAAAATTATCCAGAAAGATGGATCGGCCGTGGAGGACCAGTCGCCTGGCCTCCACGATCCCTGACCTAAATCCATTAGATTTCTTTGTGTAGGGATTCCTAAAAGAAAAAGTGTACCAGACCCCGTTACCCGAAGAGATATGCTAGTAGACAGAATCAGGAACGCATGTGATGAAATAAGGCCTTATTTGAATAATGCTATACCACGTTCGATCCTTCGTAGATGTGAATTATTGTGTATTGAACAATTGGGTTTACATTTCGAGCAACTACTTTAGATTTGGTATGTTTGTCCTAACTATCCAAAAGCATTTTAGTTGTAAATAATTAATTTAATTTTTTAAAAACAATATTGGAAAATTAAACAAATTAATATTCTGTTTTTTGTGTTTATCTGTAGTTAGGAATTATTGCTGTGTTTAAAAACACAATCTAAACGATCATCTTAATTACTTGTAATGCCCAAATCGAAAATGTAAAAAAAAATATTATTTTCCCATAAATAATTAAAAATGCATCGAACCTTAAAAATCGAAATATCTCAAAAACGGCTAACTATAACGAAAACTCACAGGAGAGCTTTTTTATGCAGAAAAGTGCAAGGAATGAGTTTTTTTGTTCAAAAAGGAAAAAGTTGCACTAAGAAAAAATTTTCGGTCATTTTAATACACTACAGGTACAGTGGAGAGCGCCCTGTAGCGGCTACAGTAAAACTATGCCATGGTTCGTTTTTTCGTACCAAAAACCCTTGTATACCAATTTTCGCTGTTATACATCAAATATTGCTCGAAATATAAAAAAAAAACTATTTTAAAAAGTAAATTTAAACACCACGCATTTTTCGACCTATGTTTATATAGACTTTATGCATTAACTAAAAGTTCTATCGAATCTTAAAGTTATGCAATAATAAACTGAGACACCCTGTATATCTACTCGTATAGTAAAAACACATCGTAATCGCACATACATATATAGTATATCGTAAGCTAAAATGGTATTAAAATAAGAATGATTAAAACGCTGTAACAATACCGCACGAATAATACTAACAAAAAAAAGAGGCTAATAAAAGACACCTATCACACAGACATAACAAATATACAGGTGGTTGACGAATAGTAAGCAGATGACATATCGTTTTATAAATCTATGTAACCTGATCAATAAAGATTCATAGTTACACTACAATAGATTGCTAATGTAGTAAATTCTCTATTGATCCTCGTGGTTGGTTCAAAATGAATTGCTTCTTGAATGGCGCAACGTTGTAGATGCGTTGCAGATGTGGTGGAAGACTGTCGTACAGTTTAGGAGCAATATAAGTATATGAACGCTGTCCTACACCTACAAAATCCTTTATGAACCAATGATAGCGTTGCGTTGGAAGTGCAGAGTCAACACACTTGACGCCACTTTTGAGGGTAACCCAATAAAATAGCGTAGCAAATAGACATTTTTAATTAGTTCCAAAAATATTTGAGATACTCTATTATTCTTGTGGGTTCTTACTCATTTCATATGTGGTCCGGAAATATTCGCTATGGAAGGCTTCTTGCTAAACTTAATTATGGCATCCTTCCTGGAAAAACAATGGAGTGCCCTGCATGGCTGGAAGCCAGCACCGGCGTCGTTTCGAGGTTTTGAGGCCTTCCAAGTAAAAAAAGCTATTTAGATGTTCACAAAGCGGACAAATCTGCTCGGACCGGAACGAGAGGCTATTGTGCTCTCGTCCGGTTGATCACCAACAGTACAAACAGTGTTGCCAGAAACTCTTCATTCGCATGAGATCTACGCAAATATCAATCTATACAAATACAGGGTGTTTCAGTTTATTGTTGCATAACTTTAGGATTCAGTAGAACTTTTAAAATTAATGCATAAAGTTTATATAAACATGGGTCGAAAAATGCGTGGCTTCCGAAATACAGGGTGTTTAAATTTACTTTCTAAAATAGTTTTTTTTTAAATATTTCGAACAATATTTGATGTATAACAGTGAAAATTAATATACAATGGTTTTTTGGTACGACAAAACGAACCATGGGCATAGTTTTACTGTAGCCGCTAGAGGGCGCTCTCTACTGTATCTGTAGTGTATTAAAATGACCGATAATTTTTTCTTAGTGCAATTTTTTGATTTTTGATTAAAAAACTTATAGTTGGCCGTTTTTGAGATATTTCGATTTTTAAGGTTCGATGCATTTTTAATTATTTATGATAAAATAACGTTAAAAAGTCAGTTACTCGATAATTTTTAGAAATAGGCTGTGCCTGCAAATATTTTTGAAATTGAAAGCAGAATAAGGTTAAACGTCAATTAGTTGACAGTTAGTTTTGTTGTCTGTTGAAACCTGAAACGTTTTTTGCAATTGTGAATGCACGAAATTTAGTTTTTTTACCTGTTTTTTTTGTAAGTTTTATAAAATTTTTATTCTCCAATCAAGAGTTAGCGGATATTCATTTTGTGTATCTCTTTGTAAATGGAAACGCAGCAGAAGCAGCCAGAGAATACGTACGAAGATTTCCAAACAGACGACATCCAACTCGCACAGTATTTGTAAGAGTGCATCGCCAAATAATTGAAAATGGTTTTGGAAATCTCCAAAGGGATCAAAACATAAAGGTTCGTCAGCGCAGATTTACCCGTATGATTCTGCGTGAGTTTGATAGAGATCCGACCACAAGTGTTAGGAGAGTTTCTGCTTCCTTGGGAATTTCAGCAAGCCATGTTCACCGTGTTCTTAGAAATGACCATAGACGTCCTTACCATTTGCAACCTGTGCAAGGACTACAGCCAGGGGACGGAGAACGAAGAATCACACTGTGTCAGTGGACTCTTGATAGAACTGATAATAATAGGGAGTTTTTAAGTAACGTTCTATCGACCGATGAGTCATGCTTCACTAGACGTGGAGTGCTAAATTTTCATAATCAACATATTTGGTCGCATGAAAATCCGCATGCAGTTCGGGAAAGAAATTTTCAGCATGAATTTAGTGTGAACGTGTGGATTGGTATCTACCGTAATCGACTATTTGGACCCTACCTTTTGCTTGCAAGGTTAAATGCTGCGACCTTCTTGGAATTTTTAAAGGCTGAGCATGCAAATATGTGGGATGATGTTATGTTAGATTTAACAAGATTGGCCTGGTTCCAGCTTGATGGTTGTCCAGCTCATTATTCGAGAATAGTTAGAAACTGGCTGGACGAAAATTATCCAGAAAGATGGATCGGCCGTGGAGGACCAGTCGCCTGGCCTCCACGATCCCCTGACCTAAATCCATTAGATTTCTTTGTGTGGGGATTTCTGAAAGAAAAAGTGTACCAGACTGCCGTAACCACAAGAGATATGCTAATAGACATAATCAGGGATGCATGTGATGAAATAAGGCCTTATTTCGTTCGATCTTTCGTAGATCTGAATTGTGTATTGAACAATTGGGTTTACATTTCGAGCAACTACTTTAGATTTTGTATGTTTGTCCTAACTATCTAATAGCATTTTAGTTGTAAATAATTAATTTAATTTGTTAAAAATAATATTGGAATATTAAACAAATTAATATTCTGTTTTTTGTGTTTATTTGGAGTTAGGAATTATTGCTGTGTTGAAAAACACAGTTTAAACGTTCATCTTAATTACTTGTAATGCCCATAAATAACTAAAAATGCATCGAACCTTAAAAATCGAAATATCTGAAAAACGGCTAACTATAACGAAAACTCACAGGAGAGCTTTCTTACGTTGAAAAGTGCGAATAATCAGTTTTTTAATTCAAAATCAAAAAATTGCACTAAGAAAAAATTTTCGGCCATTTTAATACACTACAGGTACAGTAGAGAGCGCCGTCTAGCGGCTACAGTAAAACTATGCCCATAGTTCGTTTTGTCGTACCAAAAAAACCATTGTATTCCAATTTTCACTGTTATACATCAAATATTGTTCGAAATATTTAAAAAAAACTATTTTAGAAAGTAAATTTAAACACCCTGTATTTCGGAAGCCACGCATTTTTCGACCCATGTTTATATAGACTTTATGCATTAATTTTAAA